CGCCCTCCCGCCCCTCCCCCGCCAGAGGGGGTAGGGCTTCCTCCCCAGCGTGCGAAGGGAGGAAAGGGACTGCAGACGTGGTGACGGTGGGCTCCAGGGTCTCGCTCGCCCCCACACAGAGATAGGTCCATCGGGCCCGGCCGTTCCGAAGCACTTCCTCGATGTAGGCGTCCTCCAGCTGCGAGAGGGAGGGCGGGAGGAAGGAAGGGAGGGAGGGAGGGAAGGAAGAAGGGCAGTGAAGGGTTGTGAATGGTAAGGCTCGAGTTTAGTGCCGTGAGGTGTCACATGGAAGGGAGGGACGGAAGACGGGAGGGAAGGAGGGAGGGAGGGAGGGAGGGAGGAAGGGAGGGAGGGAGGGGGCAGGGCACCGTCGGGAAGCTCCGTGACGGAATGCGTCCGCCGGATCCCGTAGCACGCTGGGGGCTGGGCTCGGTCTTTCATCTTTCGGGTCAGCAGCGTGATCCCCAGACAGGAGCGACAAGAGCCCTTCGCAAGCATCCCACCCATGCGGGGGGCGCGCTGACGTGGCCCCGGTCCCGGCCCTCGGACCCGCCCTGCTCGCCTTGGAAGGAGACGGAGGGCGGGCGTGGGCTTTCGGGGGTAGGGCTGTCGGCGGCGGAGGGGGGGGAGGAGGTTGGGGGGCGGGAGGAGGGGGAGGGTAGGGGATGGGTGGCCATTCAGGTGATGGATGATGAGGCTCCTGTGGGGTCGGAGGTCAGAGACAAAGCGACGGATGAGAAATGCCACAGGGGCTTGGACCCGGAGACATGCGTTTTTTCGTGGAGTCCGTGCGCGCTGTTCGGTTGAGGTGAGTGCAAGGAGCGCCCATACAGAATCCATGTCCGTCATGGAAAGCTTCCTACCCTAGAGGGAGGGAGCAGGCGAAGCGCGAGTCTCAGATCCCGTATCCGTAAAAGGCCTCGTGCTTGGGAACCTACACTATCCTCCACGAATTTCACAATAGCACACGTCGCACACAAAAGTCCGGGAACATCACCACTTAATGCATCTTTAATGTCTTCTAAGGTGGCTGGAGATTCGACCCATCCCCACACAGGCGCAGCTTCCCCAAAACCACCGCCGGCAGGTCATTCAAACGTCCCATCCCGTCCTCGGGCCAGCCACACAAGCGAAACGGGCCTTTCATTCGCTATCTTTCGCCTGCACACATGGCGTCTCAAGCGGGACCCATCCCTCTGCCCCTCAGCCTCGCCCACACGGGCCGCCGACTCTGCAGACGCCTGAGCCCGTCCGCACGCTGCGAACTCCTCATGACCGCGTCGGCCCTCCCTCCCCAATGAGAAGCGTCAAGACGCTGTTGCCTTCAGGTCATCGTTCCAATCTTTTCCCGGGCTCCGGGGGCGTCCTAAGGACTCTCCAGGGCCAGAGGAAACGAGACAAAAGGCAAGGAAGGGGGGGGAAATGGGAAAAAGAGAGAAGATACGACAGGAGTGACAATAATGGACGCAACAGAAAGGGCGATAGATAGAAAAGGAGAGGGTACGACGGAAAGGGCAATAGATAGAAAAGGAGAGGGTACGACGGAAAGGGCAATAGATAGAAAAGGAGAGGGTACGACGGAAAGGACAATAGATAGAAAAGGAGAGGGTACGACGGAAAGGGCAATAGATAGAAAGGAGAGGGTACGGCGGAAAGGGCAATAGATAAAAAAGGAGAGGGTACGACGGAAAGGGCAATAGATAGAAAAGGAGAGGGTACGACGGAAAGGGCAATAGATAGAGCACAATCCATGGACGTCGAGGTCGGTAGATGGGCGCAGAGATCACGCCCCCGAATAAGAGGACAGCAGCAGACGAGGGAGGCAAAAAGAGGAAGAGGAGCAAGGGAGGGAGAGAGGGAGGGGAAAAGGAAGGGAGGTAGAGTGGCGCATGTATGAGAAGATCGGAACGTGGGAGTCTTGCCAGCACTCGGAGATATTCCCCGCCTCTTAATTTCCTCCTTCCCTCCCTAACTCCTCTCCCCGCCCTCCCCGTCTCCCTCCCTCGGCCCCGCGTACCCAAGGAGCCCGCGGCCCGTATCCCCTGCCCTTTGCTCTTCCTTCAAGACTGGCTTCGGCCCATGTTGCTGTCCCTCCGCCCCTCCGAGCGCGGCCTTCTACGCGCAAGTCCACCGAAGATCCTGTACGCCCTCCTGTCCATCTTTCATCCTCCTTGCTGCCATCCACACCCCGCCATTCCTCAATCCCCCTCAGCCAACCTCCGTGCCTCTTCCCGCCTCATGCGCGCCAACTCCACCAGCTGTCGAGCCCGTTCTTCATCCGGGAATACACTGAAGGCATGCTCCAACTCCGCCCACGCCTCTGCCCGAGCTTCCCGCCCACCCTCTGCCGCTGCATCCTCCTCCTCTTCTTCTTCCTCCACACTCTCTCCCCATGCACCCCACCAGCCTTTCCATCCACTCGTTTTCCTCCTCTTTCTCCCTTTCTCGGCCGCCCCGGTACCGAAGCCCTCCTCCCCCTCCTCTGCGTGCACTTTCGGGAGTGTCTCGCTTTCCAACAGCTTGGTCACTATCCAAAGCATGTGATGTGGGGAAAAGGGAAAAAGAGAAAGAAAAAGTAAGGAGAAGGAAAATTCATAGCGGTGTGATGCCGTGAAACCTTGCACCTTACCAATCCAAATAGAAAGCACGCTGGCTACTGCCAAGAGCCGCCAGCCTGTGGCAGTGGAAGCAGAAGACGATGAAGAGGGAGCAGTACCCACGCGCGTCTTTGCGAGAGCCGGGACTTGATGCGGGAAAATTGTGGGAGGCATAAGCATGCAGTGCTTCTGAGCAATGCGACCGCACCGACCTTCCAGTTGGGCGCTGTGGAGTGAAACGAGGACAAAGGATGGAAGATAAACCAGTCATTACTATGAACACGACAAGAGGGACAAGATGTACCTTGTTCGTACACTGTGAAAGGGAGAATTTGTCCGATGAAGTCACAAACATGACTGCGATAAGAACACCGAGGCACAAAGGTCCAACAGATACGATCAGCAGCCAGCATCCCGTCGGCCCATAAGTGCGGCTCAAATCCTTGACTTTGCGCCTTATTGATTACACGATTCTCTACAGACGCTCTGAGAGTACCCAATGTATTGAAACAGATGTGACATATAGTGTCCTGAAAAGGATACAACACAAAGGGTGTAATTGAGGAGCTGACAAGGGGGCTCAATATGGCAGGAGGTTGACCGCCCTCACGTTGTGGCACGGTCGACTTAGGGCGTACTAAGAAGGAACTAGCATCGTTCGACACAGTGAAAGAAAGCAATTTTAAATTTTGAAGCCAACAGGAACAATATTTTGCTTCAATGCGTCAATACTTTCCCCCTTTTCATGCGTCATGTTCGTGCATTCCCCCGCACTTCACCCTCTCCGTCCAACCGCGCCTTGATGCGTGCACAAACCCGCACCCTTTCCTTCTTTAAATCGTGAGCTTTGCTCTCCACACTCTGCAAGATCCTTTTTTGTCCCTCTGATTGGCCTTTTCCAAGGGTTTCCGGACGGCAGGTAAGCAGACCGCTTGGAATTGCAGGGAAATATTCCAGCTGTAGCTGAATGATTTGTGCCACGTCTTCCCCCCACACGTCTCGTACCACTGCGAAGGCGAAATCAATCCCCGCTGTGACGCCGCCTCCTGTATAAATCACAACATCCCTCGTCTTCCCCCCTGCCTCCGCCTTTCCCTCCTCCCAGCAGGGCACCGTGGTCGTGGTTCGGACCACGCGCTCACCTTTGACCGCCTCCACCCCCATCTGCCGGAGTTGATCGAGAAACATCCAATGTGTCGTCGCCCTCACCCCGTCCCTTTGTAAAAGCAAACCTCCTCTCCCTTTGTTTTCCCGTTTCCCCACCGCGGCCAGTACCAGGGACCCCGTGCAGACACTCGTGACGTACATGCAGGACGTGCGCGCCTGGTGCTCGATCCAAGCCAACACCTGCAATTAAGCAATATGCAATCATGTGAGGGGAATGATCGGTGTGAAAATGAGTCATCGCCCGCAGAAACGGTCCATGTGAGAAGGGAAGGTGAGAGACAGCAGCCTCTTGGGGGCCCTTTGCCTGTGCAAGCTCTCCCTCCTCCGCCCCGCACCCCGCCAATAGGGGAGGACGGGGCAGCGCCTCAATCGCTGTGGCCATCTCGACCCATTGCCCCGCATTTCCCTACTGCTTACGTGTTCGTCTTCCATCATCGCCACCTGCCCGGGCCCCCCCGGGACGAGGAGGACGTGGAGGGGGGGGCAGAGGGCGAGGGAGGGGACGTGGGGGAGGAGGAGGAGGCCGGCGTCGCTGGTGACGGGGGAGGGCGGGGCGGAGGGCGGGGGGGAGGAAGGGGCGGAGGAGACGAGGAGGACGCGGGTATCGGGGGCGCGAGCAAAGACTTCGAAGGGGCCGAGGGCGTCGAGGGCGGTCAGGTCGGGGAAGAGGAGGATGCCCACCATCAGGGGGGAGGGAGGGCAGGAGGGAGGGTAGGAGGGGGGCGGGAGGGCCATGCGTGCGGTGGCGTGCGGGCTAGAAGGAGGGGAAGGTAGGGGGAGGGGAAGGGCTACGAAAAGGCAGTGAAAGGAGAGGGTGAGATCGATGGGATGAGTGGCAGGGGGGGTCGAGGAGGACGGGAGGGGCAAAGAAAGGGGGGGGAACGCGAGCCCTGTGGAGTCACGGTGATCTTCACGGTCGTCACCATCATCGACACAATCATGGATGTAGGGATCGGATCGGATCGGCGAGGCACTCGGAGGGAGCACAATTCGCGCGGGCCCTGGCTTTGCGGGACTTCGCAACGTCGTCCGCCGGGTTCGCATTCCATCATCCTCCTCTGTTTCAACACCCACACGATAGCGACTGTTCCAATCGCAGCAAAGGAGAGGGACCGGTATCAACTTAGTGCTTTGTGGCCGCCATCCTCCATTTTGCTTCCCCCGCTTCCCTCCCTCCC